GACTATTCACCAAAGAAAACATAAGGATGACAGATAAATACATGACATGATATTCAACATCATTAATCACTTGGGAAACGCACATTTAAACCAGGATTACATACTACTATATACATATTAGAATTCCTGAAACAAACAAACAAACAAAAATGGCATCAATTGAAGACAATTGGAAGTCCCATACATTGGTGGTGGTGATGCAAAATGGTACCTCATGCTGGGAAGTCATTCAATAATCTTATGCAAATATATATATGTATATATACACATTCATACACACACACAAACACACACACACACACACACACACACACACAGTTATCATGTGCCCTTGCTGTTCCAATTCTGGGTGTCTGCCTTAGTGAAATGAAAACTTATGTTTACTCAGAAATGTGTACGAGTGCTAACAGTTTTAGTTTTCATATCCCAAACCTGGAAACAATCCACATGCCCTTTTAAGGATGAATAGATCAACTGAAATACTTTTATACCACGGAATAGTACTCAAAAATAAAATGAAATGATGTATACAGCAACTTGGGTGAAACTCAAAGACACTATGCTGACCAAGATAAGCCAGTAGCAGGTTATACACTGTAGAATTCCTTTTATTTTACGTTATTGAAAAGGTAAAACTGTGGTGATGGGAAATATATCAGTGCTTGTGATAGGTTATGCATGAGGTATATAATTTAGTAAAAGGCGAACCTAAAAAAAAAATTCTTATTGAGCCTTTGTAATTTTATACAACACTTCTTAATCAAATCTAGGCCTCCTCCCCCATCCATGCCCCTCATCCCCCCAGCGGACCTGATACATTCCATTATACATGCTAAGTCCTATCCAGTCAAGCACCTGCACCCAGACATCCCTCAGTGCAAATTTGTCCACTGGAGTCCGGTCAGCCCATCTAGAGATTGTATGCAAGGCATACTCTCCGTTATCCAACATCAACCAGTCTCCAACAGTTCTCAGTTTACAGCTGGCCCACTACCCACTTCTCACCTCCCCTCTTGGCCCCCATTCAACTAAGTTGGCATGAGTCCTACACTCAGGGCACCATTGCCACAAGTTCACATGTACAGGCTTCCAGTAGCATGAAAGCCTCTGCTTCCCTGTGTTCATGAACAAGCCCTGGTTCCCACAATCTTTCTGGTCCCTCTTTGCAATGTCCCCAAGTCATGGATGGGTGAGGTTCAATATAGGAGTCCCATCCAAGAATACACATTCTGTAGTCTCTTATTCTTTAAAACTTGGCCAGTTGTGGCCTTCTGTGTGCATTGCACTGTGCTGTATAAGGAAGCTCCACCCGTGAGAGTCAAGGGATGCATTAGTTTTCTCCCTACCCCTTGTTCTGCCTATGTTCTATGAGCCTTAGGTATAGAGATTCAACTGTAGATGTGTCACCTAGGACTGGGCATCTCTCAGACATATATTCTCTGTGTCTGAGCATTTGTGGAATTCTGCAGTGGACTCCATCTGTTGCAAAAAGCAGTTTCTTTGATAAGTGCTGTAATGAATGCTTGTCTGTAAATATAAGGATCCATATTTAACGTATGGTAAGAAATTTCATTTGTTTAGAGATATGAAACAGAGAGGGTTTTCTCTAGGATTTATGGTCTCTCCTGTCACGTGTATTTGGCTGAGTTTACAGTGCCACCCATGAGTTCACTACCATTGAGAGGACTTTAAGTCTAATTAGATGACTGTTGATTGCCCCCCCCCAGATAACAGTGCCAATGCTGCACCAATAGAGGTAGTTTGCCATGCTGGTGGTTATGGTTATTAGGGTTTAGGGCTGGATTGTACCATCGATTATTTTTCCTCTCTTGACAATTTGCATTTTATCATTTAGCATTATGATAGCTAAACTTTTGGTAGAAGGCCTCCAGGTCAGTTCCCCCTCCATTGCTCTAAGTCCTGTATCCGAAGCATATCCTGTGTTCAGCAGTAGGGTCTTATCTGCTAGTTCTGAGAGATAACCAAGAGGTTTGGCAATAAACTGTGTTATTTTGGGAGTCTCCTGTACCACTCTCTCCAGCCATTCAAAGGGAGGTCTCTTCTGTCTGGCACTGTGTTCCTTGCCAAGCACTTCCCAGGTATACATATGCACTAACGTTTAGACACTGTATGGGCATTTTTCATGGGGTTTCAGGGGTATCACATTTCCCTCTGGGTTTCCTAAGCCCCCAAGATTCATTCATCTCTATTCTTGTTCCTCCCATCAGGCCTCCCTCTTCCCTCCCCAGTCTCAGCACCACCATTATCCCCACCCTCCCCCAATAACACCTGCCTCCCACCATTGCTCCTCTCCTGACTCCCCCTCTACACACACCTTGGCTCCTTGTACGTCCCTCCCTCCTCTCCTCCCTGACAAACATTTCCACTTTCCCCATATCCCTTCTGGTAACATCTGTTCCCTACTATCCCCCTCTTTTGGGTTCTTTCTTTTCTTTTACCTCCATGTATCCTTTCCCTTTACCTGGCTACTGGTGTTACATCAGAATTTGTATACTCACATATAAGGAATTGGTGCTACAGTCTGCAAATGAGGGAGACCATACAATGCTTGCTTTTCTGCATTTGTGTTATTTCACGTAGTATAACACTCTCTAGTTCCATCCATTTGCCTGCAAATTTCATCTTTTCTTATTGCTGAGTAGAAGTCCATTGTGTAAATGTGCCACATTTTCATTATTCATCAGGTGAGGGGCATTTAGGTTGTTTTCATTTCTTAGCTATTGTGAAGAGAGCAGCAACAAACATGGATGTACAGGTATCTCTACAGTAGGACAAGTCCTTTGGGTATGTGCCAAGGAGTGGTATCAACGGATCATATGGTACATTCATTTTTAGTTTTTTGCGAGTTCTCCACAACTTTGCATTCCCACCAGAAGTGAATGAGCAAAGGTGAACTTTTTGTATTGGTGGTACTGTGATGTATTTTACTTGTAGTGGTGGTGGTTACACAAATCCATACATTTGTTAAAATTCATAGAACTATATACTAAAAGAACATATAGCCAATTTCGTCCTATGATAATTTTCAAAATACAAAAATTAATTTTGTTTTATGAATCTTTGCATGTGATCTTACTTTTTTGTTGTTGTTTGATTTCCTGACCTCTCTGTTTTGGAGTAGACAAGTTTTATTCATTGTTCTTTTTGTTTGTTTTAAGTTGTTTTTTTTTTCTTTGAGACAGTGTCTCATGTAGCTCAGGCTGACCCGAAACTCACTGTTTATCTTAGACTGACCTTGATCTCCTTCTGATCCTCTTCTCTAACTCCCAGGTGCTGACATTACAGGCGTGTACCACTACACCCTGTTTATGCAGTGCTGAGCATGGAATCCAGAGCTTCCTAGATGCTAGACAAGCACTCTACCAACTGAGCTACATTCTTAGCCCATATGGACCTTTTTGTACATCACATTCACAAAACTCATTCATTCACTCAGGGCCTTTGCGGTTGTCATTTTGTTATCCTTCATATCTTCCCCCATATCTTCATGGAGCTTCCTTCTCCCTTCATTCATGTCTCTGCTCAAGTTGTATCACCTCTGAGCAGCTTTCTGTAGTCATACCTCCTACATTCTCCCAGACTCTCCCTCTGTTAGTCTCTGTTACATCATTGTATTTCTTCCCAGAACTATTTTATTCATTCATTTTATCGTCTCTCTCCAGTCACTTGAATATAAGCCCTATAAGGGCTTTGGTCTACTCTGTCTTGGTCTTCGTATCATAACTGGACTGGTGTCTAGCCTATAGTAGATAGATATAGAAGATTATTGGATGAATTAGTAGAATTATGAATGATTGAACACTTGTTGAGTTTTGTACTGACTAAACAATATGTTGGTTCTTTTGGAATATCTCAGAATTGAGCTTTTGTACAGAATTCATTCTTTCTTTGGCTAATTCTTTTAAAGAATGCCTTTATGTGGGGCTAGAGGTGGTTCAGTTGTTAAGAGCACTGACTGCCCTTGTAGAAGACCCAGGTTTGGTTCCCAACACCATATGGTGCCTAACAACCATCACCATCTGTAATTCCAGTTCCAGGGGATCCAATACCCTCTTCTGGCCTCTGTGGCTATTGCATGCATGGAGTACACTTACATACATGCAGACAAAACACTGATATACATAAAATTAAAATTAATTAATTAAAAAACAGATTGTTTTTATGTGCCCCTTTCTCTCTATAAAAGTTTTAAAAAGGCTTTTTTTTTTGATTTTTGTTTTTGGAGGGGGAGGAAGTGGTTTGTTCATGTGGTGCAAGTGCCCATGGAAGCCAGAGGCATTAGAATCCCCTGGAGCTGGACTTACATGTGGTTGTGAGCTGCCTGATGTGGATGCTGAGAACTAAACTTAAATCCTCTGGAGAGCAGTCCATGTTCTTAACCACTGACCCATCTCTCTAGGCCATGAAAAATTTGTTTTAGGCCAGACCATTTGATTTTTCCAAGTAGAAGATTGCTGATCCTCTCTTCTTTTGCCTAGAGGTCATATGCTAAGTCATATTTTATGCAAGAGCCTGGACAAGATTTTGTTGGACAGATGACCAGGGTACCTTTTCATCCTTCAGTCATGACTGAACATTGTGCCAGAGATTACAACTAGTAATTTAGTTGTAGTGACTCGGGACTCTGTATTGGGAATCTGCCTTTTCTTTTAGATGTCCCCAAATCAAACTTTTAAAGTTTCATATCCTTTTTTGCTGTTGGTCCTGCCTCAGCGGGGTGAGACTAAGGTTGTGGAGGAGAGTTCAACAGTTTTGTTAAGCATCTTCAGAAAGGAGTTGATAGGTTACTAATTATGAAGCCCCCTTCTAATCACCTGCATTGAATATTGTGCCTTCCAGTTCACGTTCCTGAGTTATACAGCACTGAAGTGTTTGAGTCCAGTTATACATTTTCTTTGAATTTCTAAAGAAATAGAGATGAACCTAGAAAATGACTCCTTTTCTTTTTGTTTTTCCTCCCCCTGTTTTGTACAACTTAGGAGGTTCACCAAGAACGGATTGCATTGGAAAACCAGTTGGAACAACTTCGTCCAGTCACAGTGTTGTGACCCCCTCAAGGCTCAAGTGATAGTGGGTGATGTCGTCTGCCAAGATCTTTCTTTTGAATGTTTGAGTCCAACTACTTGTCATAGATGTCTGTCTAAAGCTGTGAGCAGCACAATATAATCTTATGGCCTTCTCTCTTGCACTTCACTTGTGTATTTTACTGTGGTGGAAAAAATTTCTTTGCACTTAAAATCATAATTATCAGCTACTTGGGAGGCTGAGATGGGAGAATCATAAGGTCAAGGCTAACTTGAGAAGTTTATTGAGACCCTGTCTCAAAATAAAAATAAAAATAAAAAGAGAGCTGCAGATATATACCTCGGTGGTAGAGTGCTTGCGTGGAAGGCCCTCAGTTCAGTCCCTGGTACCATTTAAATATTATAATGATCAGTGAAATTTATCTCCCATTCTTAACTACTTTCCCAAGGTTTTAGATACTGCTCCTTATAAAAAAAAATTAGTCTTCCAGCAAACAATTTACAGCATTATTTATTTACAAAATTTATAATTTTTATGGAACCTTATAACGAGGTACTGTCAGGATGCTAGTTTTATTCTTATATGTATGTCACATACAGTAGGTTGGTTTCCTGAATAATTTGAATTCCAACTGGATAGTCTTAGGTATGATGATAATCAAAACAAAAGCCAAAATAAAATAAAAGCACCACATTTTGACTGGCACTGTGCCCTCTACCACTATATGCCAAAAATTACTTTTCCAGTGCCATTTTGATATTATATCAGCTATAAATAATACATGACTATTATTTTATGTTGAATGTCAAAGTCTTATTGGGTCTTTACACCTCTGTGAAGTGGAGATTTTGGCAGTGTGCTGTTTAACTTGGCCAGTCTAGGCCATCAGCCCAGATAACTCAGTCCTTTTAATGTAAATCTTTGGGTAAGCCCAATCTACTTTAACTGCCCTGTCCAAGCAAATTAAGTAAATATTTGCCAGATCTCTACTCTTATCCTGCACAGGATAACACATCTGTAAAGGCATGAGCTTGGAAACCACTCATCAAATACAATAATTTGGATTAATACATATTTTGTTTGAACCAAGAGATCCAAGACGAAGATGAAAGGGAAATGACTACCAACTCTCCAACAATCTCTGGTTGTCATTTTTGTCTTTATTTAGCCTGGATTGTAAACATATTGAGTTAGAAGTTATAATGTAAGAACATGGTCTTTCCACTGTCTATATAACTATTTGTTCTCTGTAAACTATACCTTTGAAGTATTTGGTTTATATACATTTCAGAGGAGTTCAGATAACTCTGGTGGAGGTGATATAGAGGAAGCTCAAATTGCAGAAGCCAGTGTCCCATAGAAATTTAATAGTAAACCCAAGTGGAAAGTGGGAAGTGACTGACCCTGTAGGGGCACAGGATCCTCAGTTCACTGACCCTCACAGGACATTTCAATGTTAACACCGTACTGAGAGACTCACAGCATGATGTATTATCTGCTGTGCATTTTACTAACTTGTTCTTTGGATATTAGGATGAGGTGTGCCCAGGATCCTTTTTGAAATGGTTTGGGATAGATTTGCAACATTTGGGATTAAGCTCTTCATTTCAATAGAACTGAGAACTTTATGTAAAAGTAGGCATTTATCAGATACTTCCTTGTTTCATTGGCAAGTTTTATCAGTAGCTTAACAACAGAAGTGAAAGGCTCAAACAGATGATGTTATTTTCCAAAGAAAAACAAAATGTTGAATCTCTTCCATCCATATTTGAGGATTTGAAACTGATTTGATTTTCAAAGTCATGAAACTTGAACTATTTCTGCCTTTCCTTTTCTCTTCTCTTTTGGCTGCCTTTTTTGGTTCTTGAGGGGAAAGCTCAGGGGTAAGTTTAAACCCTTTCTAATATTATGAATGGGTCATTGCAAATTTCTAGGCAACTTCTTTGTCCATACACTGGGATCTGGAAACCATAGCAAATTTTATCAGCAGTGTTCTGATTACAGATGTTACACAATGTGTTTGGCTTTTGGTACATTCCATTCAGGAAAAGCTAACTAACATATGCACTTTATCTCAAAAATCTTCCAGTGCATATGCACTCATTTGGGATAACACTTCATATTCACCAACCAGACATGACCTAAGGAATGTTAGTCTATACTATACATTCAAAAAACACTGATATGCTGTTTCCTCCATTAAGTCAGTGACAAAGGGATTTGAATTAGGAGGTTGGACTTTTGTTTGGTTGGCTCGGTTTTCCTTAAAGGAAAGACAACTTGCATTGGACAATCAAGGCCCTCCGAGTTTCACAGTCTCACCAATATATTTATGTGGTGCTGGGGATCAAACCAGGGCCTCATGCATGCAAGACTGGGACACATCTCCAGCCCACCACTGATATTTTTGATAGGTATTGCATTAAAGCACACACCAATAATATGTATACTCTGCATTCTTAGCTGGACCTACTTTGATCCGTTTATTAATTGCTTAGAAATAGATTTTTAGAAAGAAATATTTGTGTGTGCATACAAATACACACACCCACACTGTTGCTATTTTATAACTAGTACTCATTCTCTAGTTCCATGTTTCTTAGGATGTGCACTTTTAATTTATGGCTTTAATGCCTGATAATATTTTTGAGAGCCTTTAATAATGGTTTATAGGAAGGCTGGCACATTGAAATCTCCTATAAAACTGCTCTAGAATTAATAGCCATCTAATGTAAAAAGAAGCTTCTCTGATGAGGGATAAGAGATGTAGACTTGCTTGTTGGGAAGAATTCTACTGAATGAATGTTAATGCTATCCCCATTCAAGGGTGTTAAATGCCTTGTTGCTCAGTGGCATTCCCCCATGGGCATTGTCCAGTCCCACAGATGAAAGCACAAGAGGCACTTATAGTGGGCTTATTAGGGCCTTTGGCATCTCGTAAATGACATACTGCATTTGGCCACCTTTCTAGCCATAGACTAAGAGCAAAAATCAAATGATAGACATCTAGAATGGATGTGTATGTGACAATCAAGGGAGATATTTGGCGTAGTTGGAAAGCTGTAACTGCTTTACAAATGTTGTACAAGTGCTTGGGACTAATTGGGAAAAGAGTCCACTTAGCTAGAAGCTATGTCCATATGACTGGGATATCATAGCTAAACAGGACTGGTACTCATATACTCATGGTATATAGCATGTGGCAAAACCACAACCCTAAGAACTAGGAGTTCTTGGCCTAGAAATCCATACAAAGAGGTAGCTAGTGGTAGAGTTGGCATGCCAGCCTGATCTTATGGATTCCAAGTTAGTCCTCTGTCATTCCTCAAAATAGATTAGAAAGGCTTTTCTTTTATCATGTTGAATTTAATTGACTTAATTGTCTTCAAATGTGAAAACATCTAAGAAGTTTTATACCTAGGCGTTTATCTTGAAGTAAAAAATAAAATATGAAGGAAAATAATATTATTGAAACTATTCTTTTAATGCCTCATCTTTGATGATACAGTAAGTTACTTGAAATCTTGGCAGAACTTGAGACAGCTGTTACTTTGAATGGATTCCATTCTTGTGTTCCTTATGGGAGTTTGTTTTTGAAATAGACTACTGTGATTAAAATGAACTCAGCATGAAGCAAGTTATAGTTTTCTCCAGTGTATCTTTGATTGCTTGTGTCTCAAATGTTCAATTTTAGTACATTTTAGGGTAAGTAATAAAAAACATGGACTTTGATTTTGTACCAATGTCTGAACTATTGTAAAATATTTTTTTCTTTAGATGTGATTTGAATGTATAGTGTTTCTAAATATTTGTCAGTGTCCTGAATGGTCTTATAATCATGGTAATAATAGATATATAATTAGATGATCAATTAGATGATATCTGGAATTGAGGTGATTCTTGCCATTAAGACAGACATTTGCAAATGTCTTCTAAGCAGTAGTTGGAAAGAGTTCAATTATAAGTATTAACACCTTAGAGCTAAAAACATTTGTTCAACACACACTACAGTCACACCTCTGACTAGATATCATCAAGGAGCTGCAATTTTTAAGATGTAAAAATAAGAATTTAACATCTCATAACAACCAGATCCTCCCATGTTACTGACAAGTAGGCTCATTAGGTTGTGGTTTGAACATCGTGAGTGTTAACAAGTGAAATAGTGCTTAAAGTAATCTCTTCCCCCTGTAGTTAAAAAGAACAGCAGTAAAACTTTTGTTTCTCTTTCCAACTGGTTTACTCTATTTCGAGTGCTCCATTCAAACTCTAATTTCCAAGGATCACTTGAATTGATACTCCAGTTATGGGTATTATAGTTTTTTGTGTTATGACTCAGTGTAGTTCAAGTAAGAAGTAGAGATTTGGGTTTGTGTAGTTCTTAGCCTGCCCATCTTGCTTCTCTTTCAGCACAGGCTAATAGGGATTATGACCAACACAGACATATTAGTCACTGATTGTAATTTGACTGGAGATTACCTTGTGTCACTCTACTTTGTGAAGAGAATGTGTTCAGTTATATGAACTCACACGAGCAGCAGACAGAGAGGACCAGAATATAAAAGCAATGCACACGGATTCCAGGAGCTGCTGCCTATCCTCAAACAGGCTTTCAGAGGACATTTTATAAATATGCTTTGAAGCAGCCATTGTGTTGCTGTGAGCAAGACAGCCTAGGTATAGTTATTTTCTAGGCTTGTACTATCATTTTCTACACTGGATAAAGATACATGATAAGACAGTGTGCTTTTCTAGGAAGCACTGCAGGGTTTCAGTTGCTGGTGCCTGCTCTGTTTGCAGAAGCCTTGCCTTGCCTTGCTGTCGACAATTAGAGAATGCTTATTTTTCATGTCTTGCCATTTCTCCTCTCTTGCTCCAAGCTAATTTCATGGCTGTGGGAGGTTAGAGAAACTAAGTTTACTGACTCTGAACACCAGAGGACAGCAGGCTCTAAGAGGGCTCAAATTGGAATTTGAGGACTACAGTAAGGATACCCTCAGGCACCAAGTTTATAGCAGTCTGTGGGATGGTAGGACTAGCTCCTAAATTTCCTTCAGGGAGCTCTGCCATGAGACAGAACCGAGTAACCCCATTGTATGCAGCTTGGATCAACTAAGATGTACCATTTTTGATTTAAGTCAACTGGTGTGACAGCTTCAACTGCACCCACCTTGGGAACCAAGAATACCCCCTTCTTTAGCACTGCCATTATTTTCATCTTCAGCACAAATAAGATATTTGAGCCAGAGGCAAAAAGAGCCATTTTAGACTTCATAATGATTGGCTAAGAGCGATTAATGAACTGACTGTCTATTTTAATCTTGAAAGTAAAAATGTATATTATATTTTTTCACTACAGGTACATGGAACAGTAAAAAGTGTAACAGCAAAGTTTATATTTGATGCTTTCTGTCTTTTCATGATAATGCTCTAACAAGTTGTGTTAATATTTAACTCAGCCAGAGTCTCATTCATTTGCTAAGCATTGGGAACATTCTGTATATTTACCTTAAACATAAATAAATCCCCAAGAGTGTCCTATATTTGGATAGTGATTTGTAGACTCAAGCTAGCTTTACTGCCTCTTTTTCACACTTGTTGAAAAATCTGTGAAGAACATAGTAAGTTAAGGATCTTCAACTTGGAAAATATACGTGATGTGAAATTGAGGTGCTATGTTAAAAATAAATATATGATAATGATGTCATTTTTATGGATTCTTGGTGTCAATATTTTCTGGTTTCCATTTGTCTCATATCTACTTACAGCAGGTGATGAGAAAAGGAGTTGGGAGTCTTCCCGTTGAAATCGGTCTGAGTTTGGTTCTTTTCATCTCCTGTCAATTTAAGACAGGTTCTCAATATCTGCATGCAGTAAGCACTTGGGACATCCAGACTGACTCAGTACGTTTTAAAGATCTACTGAATTGAAACTTGACTTAACGTGGGGCCAAATTGCCTTCTTTATCTTCTCACTGTTCTTTTTATTGGAGAACATTTCTAAAGCTGGGTTCAGTGGTTTGTACTTGTATTCCCACCAGTTGAGAGGCTGAGGCAGGAGGATCAGAAGTCCTTGACCAGTTTGGGTTACATAGTGAGTTTATCAAAGTGTAGCCCCATTTCAAAACTAAAACCAAAAGCAAACAAAAATACCAATGACAACAAAAAAGAATGTTCCTGTCATAGAGTCCTTACCTGGAATGGGGTTGTTGTAGTTACTTTCCTTGTTCATGTGATAAAATACCTTGACAAGAGCAATTTAAGGGAAAAGGGTTTATTATGGGTCACCATCCTTCATGATAGAGAAGTTAGGGTGACAAGACCTTGAATGCTGGTCACATTGCATCCACAGACGAATGCATTGTGCTGCTTAGTTCTCTTTCCCTTTCTCCATTTATACAGTTCAGAATCCCATCCAGGGAATGTTCCCACCCACAGCGGGGGACTCTTCCCCCTCAATCCATGTAATGAAGATAATCCCCATCTCCTCAGTGGTATTAATGTTTGTCAAGTTGACAATACTATCACAGGGGTAATAAGAAATGATCAAAAACAATTGTCTCAAAATCTTGACCAAATAATCTCACCCCATCAGTTGCAATTTCTTACCTTTAAAATTTGTAAAAATTTAAGAGACACAAGTCTATTGACTGGATTTCCTGCTGTATTACAATGTCCACCTGTTATTAATCCCAAGCTGTTGGTATTATTTTGGAAGATTCAGAAGACTTTGGTGCATGTCCTTAGGGGCCCCTCTCTGTCTCCCTTTCTTTTTCCTTCTTGCCATGATGCTAGCTGTCCTGCCACTCCCCTTCCTTGGTGCACTAAATGTCTGAAACTGAGCCAAAATCTCTCTCTCCCCTTGTTTCCATAAGGCAGTTTGTCATAGTATCATCCATGAGTTCATTCTGTGTGCTCACCTCATTTCCGTGGATCACTTAGTGTGCCCTAACTGTGTAACCAAACGCTAGGTTAGAAGCTGGAGATGAGACCAAGACGACAGAGCTATTTCTTCAACAAGTTCATAGCTCAGTAGGACAGAGAGCTATGGATGACTCTCAGGCAAAATGGAATATGTGCTGTGCTGTGTTAGGATAGGTAACTGTAGACACCAATAAGGCGTAAGCTACCTAGAGATGGGATTAAAGCTATTTCCAAGATTTAAGAGCAAATGCATGTAATTGCTAGTATTCAGGGAGTGATTTATGACCTCCAGGTATTTTTCTTTCTATTCTCTATAAAGGAAATGTTTTACTCAAAGACGGAAGCCTAATGTTTCTAAAATGAACTGTTATTTTAATTCATTATACATATTCTGGTTTGTGTTCCAGCAAAAGAACAAAAAGCCCAAGACACAGAATAAGCCTCTGTGGGAGAAGCCCTGTTGGAAGACACGAAGCGTATTTCATCCTCAGCTCCTTTGTGAGGGTGGTGCCAGGGGTCGTGTGATGATTAAGGAATTTAGGGTTCTTTTTTTGTCAAGAAAATTATCAATGCGCAGAGCATGTTGGAAAATGAAGTTGAAATATTGTTAGTTTTGAACAACAGTGCTTAATGAGTTTATTTAGCAATTTTGAAAAATCCCCAGGCCTGCAGGAGAAAGTGCTCAAAGTAGAATATCTCCGTGGCAAACTCGTTTCCAAGAGTCCTGTTATATTGTTTTCCAATTATGAGATGTTCTGGGAGTGTGAGCAATAGTATTTACTGGTATCTGAGGCGTTTTCCTCAGTGCATTTTTCTTTTAAACACAGAATGAAAAGGGCCCTTATTTGAGGGCACTAAATTGTAACCCAGCCATTCCTTCCTTTGTTTGGCCTGAAGTTCCGTTACTTAGAAGATTGGGTAGAAGGACCTGGCACAGAAACTGTGTAAAATTTTCAAGATTGATCTGTGAGAATGCTGTAGCGCCATCAGTAGAGGGCATACATACATATTCTCAGAAACAGCCTGAGTAGCTCTTTACAGTGTAGACCAAGCTGACTTTTGTTCTATTATTGCTTTCTAGAGAGTGTGTTATTGTTTTTTAGAGAGAATGTGCTCCTTATTCTTATGCATAGACTATTCCCATCTTTGGTGCAGCATTACAGAATGCATTACATGCCTCCACTCCTATATTGGGCTTAATCAAAACTACAAGGCTGAAGGAAGGCCAAGGGGAAGAAAGATAATGCTTGTGGAATGAAGTAAAAGAAAGCAAAGTAAATTAAATGCAGACACAGAGAGCTGTGATGCAGGTCCTTTGAAATTCTAATGAAATTGGCTTGAACCCATCTGTGTTGAGAGCCTGTATCCTGGTCCTCCTGGAGTTTCTGAGATGCAGAGGTGATGGTGGAGGGATTGATATTTTTATCCTTGGTGTGTCTGGCTCTAAGTTACTTCCTAGGAACCAGTTTCACAGATAGACCGTCTACCCTCACCCCAAGCATTACAGCATGAGGCATTTGTGTGTATGTAGAGGATGAAATGAAATAGAACAGAGGCGGAATCTATACAATATTTAGGGTGATAAGAACTTTTAAATAGTTTATATCCAAGCTCGTCCATTGCACAACTCCAGGAAATACTGCTCACGTTATCGTCTATGTGAAAGATGGCCCTTAGAGTTTGTGATGCAGTGGGCTTCCTCACACATTCATGATGCATACTTCACTCTTTCCCTCACCAAAGTGTTCCTCTTTTCCCTTTCTTTAGATTCACTGTTCTGATTCTGCTGCCTGAGGGAGGGTGGAGAGCCAAGAACCTTGGTGACCCTGCTGGCCCTTCTAACCTAGTGCCTCTAGCCCTGAGCAGATGTCTTTCAGCCACCCATTTCCACTGTAGGTGTAGTAATTCTGCCTCTGTCTCCCCCAGGGAACTTTGGTAATGTCTAGGGATAATTTTGGTTTTCGTAAATGAGGGATGCTACCGGCATCTAGTGGATAGAAGAGGCCAAAGATGTTGCTAAAATTCCTACAATGTACAGGAGAGATCCCTTACAACAAGGAGTAATCTGGCTCAAAATGTCACTCCTGCCGAAACTGAGAAATCCTGTTCCAGAGGAACTCTTCGAGCTTCTCCATTTTCCTTAATTATCTAGAGCAAATTAGCCTCTTCACCACTGCCAGGGATCCTTCCTCACTCAGCCAAAGCTACATCAAAAGGCCATGCTGAATTATTCTGTTAATTCAAGTGTAAATGAGTGAAGTGAACCAGGAGGAAGAACCAAAGTAGTACTGGTCCATCTGCTTCAATCTTAGGAAACAACAGGGAACAGTGTGGACTGTGACTGTGGAGCTGCATGTCCTGCTTATAAAGACAACACTGTGTTATTGGCATGCAGGCTGCTATGTTGCTAGATTTCTGATCCCTGAAGAGACAGAATATCTCATCTCCATCCTCCAGAAAGTCCCTTTTGTGTTATTCACTTTTTTTGATGAGTTATAACTTACCTGTATTAATTCTCATTGTTCAACCCAATGAATCATTAGTATAATCTTGAAAAATAGTTGGAGGACGTATACTAGCTGACCGCACGGTTTACCATAAAACTACAGTAATTAAAATGGTGATATACACTTACAGTTGGAAGTGATAAAAAGATTAACAGAAAGAATACAGAGCCCAGAAATACATCCACACACATGTAATTTGCTTGTAATTTTTTAAAAGCCATCAAAATTCAGTGATGGGAAAAAGGGTCTTTTCAATAAATGGTGCTGGAGCAATTGAAAATCCACATGAGAAAAAAGTGAACCTGGAATTCCTACCATGCATGAAATTTAATTCACTATATAGCATAAGTCTGACTATGAAAGGCAAAATAATAAAGTATCTAGAAGAAAGTGTAAGATAATATCTTCATGAATTTTGTAAAGAGATTTTTTAAAACATGGTTCACGAAACTACCCATGAAGGAAAACATTGATAAATTGGATTTCATTAAAGTGAAGAACTTTTGTTTATCAGAATTCATGACTAAGAGAGTTTTGGCAAGCTGTAGAACAGTAGAACTTCTTTGCAATACATCTGTCAAAGGATACTTGCTTATTTTTTTCTGTGTTGGCAACTATTTCTAATTTAAAACACTGAGGGGAGAGAAACCACTGTGCATGCTGACATTATACAGGCCAAACAAAACAAGCCTTCGAGCCAGTTCTGGCACGCATACTGCAGATTTGTAGCCTCACCTTGAGCAGCACAGGAGAATGGAGAAACTTGAACATTTCTGTATTTTCTTATTCTTTCCTTAACTAGCCTCTCTGAGGGGGAACAAACAACGGAGAGATCTAGTTCTCAGTGGGGAGGGTTTCTCATGAGATGGCAGAAAGGCTGGGTAAAATGAGTTTAGGTTTGAAATAAATAGTGCTTTCTCTCCTGCTGATAGACACAAACATTAAAGAAAAATTAAAAATCTGATTTAATCAACCTTTTTCTATTGGCTCTATGGAGACTATCACTGATTCCCCATTTACCTTACTCTGTATGGCTCTAGAATTCACAGCATCTCTACATGATGGCCTAGAGACCTGGAAAGTCAACTTCATGCCACAGTGAGACAGAAGTTGTACAGAGACTGAAGTGAAACTTTTAGCATTCACAGACTGTTAGTGTCTGGCTTCTTTTCTTTCTCCTTCCAGAACTGTGGCTTTAGTTTCCTCCTTCTCTCTTCTCCAGTACTCTTCTTCCTTCATTTACTTATAGTTGGAGACTGGTGAGGCGAGGGATGATT